TTTGTTTTTCACTCCATATTCTACTCCAAAATAGAGTAGGGTTGGAGTAAAACTCCAACTCCATTTTAGAGTTACTCTATATATTTTGGAGTAAAAAATGGAGTAATGGGTTGGAGATGATATTCTGGTTGTCCGGTCCACCAAAAAAGTGTGGGCCAAAAGGCTCGAAATTCACGGTTATAAAAAAATCCAGCCCAGTTTTTTAAGCATATCCACTTAATTTATAAATTTGATTGAACACGGACCAAACTTTGATGCTTTAAAATGGTTACTCGCGGGTAAACCCGCATATTTATTTATTCTAAAATGTTTGGTTAAAATGACGTCATTTTGATCGGTTATATGCATTTTAAGCCTATGTACTTAATTTATAAATTTGATTGAACATGGATCAAACTTTGATGCTTTAAATTGGTTACTCGTATTTTCATCTAAAATGTTTGATTAAAACGACGTTATTTTGATCGGTTATATCACGAATAACGAGTTTAGCTGGCTTTTAAGGGGTCTAAGGTTGGGTAAAAATGCATATCATAATAATATCCTCAATAATATTTACCTATATGTTCACATTCATTGATAAAAGTATGCATGTTTGATAATCTTCAGGCAGGAGGGCCTTCATGGACTGTGTTATTGGGAAGAAGAGATGGTCTTACGGCAAACCTGTCAGGGGCCAATAACCTTCCCTCTCCTTTCGAAGGCCTCAACAACATCACAAATAAATTTTCAGCTGTCGGGCTAAACACAACCGATGTAGTTGCCTTGTCTGGTAAATCATGATCGACATGTTTATAGTTGCTTGCGTCTCAATTCAAACAAATCCCTAATGCCATTAATTTCTTGTGGTTCAATGTGCATAGGAGCTCATACCTTTGGGCGTGGTCAATGTCCAACATTCAACAATAGACTATTCAACTTCAGCGGGACGGGGAATCCCGACCCAACTCTGAACTCAACGCTTCTCAGCAGTCTTCAACAGATATGTCCTCAAAACGGGAGCGGATCGGGGATTACCAATCTCGATCTGACCACACCTGATGCGTTCGATAACAATTACTTTACGAACCTTCAGAGCAACAATGGTCTTCTTCAATCAGACCAGGAACTGTTCTCTAACACCGGTTCAGCCACCATCGCGATTGTTACTTCCTTTGCAAGTAACCAAACTCTGTTTTTCGAGGCGTTTGCTCAGTCTATGATCAAAATGGGGAATATTAGTCCGTTGACTGGGAGTAGTGGAGAGATTAGACAAGATTGTAAGGTGGTTAATGGACAGTCATCAGCCACTGAAGCAGAGGACAGCCTTATACAATCTGGCTCCATTGACCGAGAAGTGAGTTTAGCAGATATGTGAAAAAATGATGAGAACAGTTTCACCGTTTGTTTATCATATATGATTAATTACTCGTAAGCTGAATCACTTTCGTAAAACAATAAATTTGGTTGGAGAAGAAATAAATTGAGTGGTAAGGTTGTAAAATACGTCTAAAATTTGTAAAATAAG